TAGCCTGTGTTTTTAAGCCCATCAGTAAAAAAAGGAGGTCAGATTCATACTTGCTGTAAGAGTATGTGTGGAGCTCAGTTGTTCTCTCAGCCTTGGAGAAGTAATGAGATAGGAGCAGCCAGAGGGAAGGGGCTATGGAGGTTTCTGTTTCTAAAAGCCACCCTCTCAATGGTACTGGCTCCTTCCTGGCTTTATGATCTTGCAGGTATCTAACCCAGGACCCGATAACCAAATAGGGTATTTTTTAGTTTAGTGTTAGAAATGTTCAGGATCACCGGTCCTTCCCAAATAATAAATGCACAGTTCATCACTGTAGGGGGAAAAAAAGATTAAAACCCATTTTAAGGTTTTGGCTACCCACCTGTCTGTAGCAGGTCTACCTCAGCAGTTTCCTGCCAGCTCACCTTGTGGGCTGTCTCCTGACTCTGTGATGACCTCTCACAGATGCTATCCCAGACCTGGAACCTCAAGACACCCCGTCCTCTCTGCACTCTGTGGTGAAGTCGGTCTGGAAACCTCAACTTGCCACAAGGCTCTTTGGCCTTCTGATCTAAGTACCTACATCCCGGGGCAGACCCAGAAAGGGTGCAGTGGCATATTTGCAGCTCCTCCCACCCCCTCACCCCCCACCTTCCTCTTTTGGATCATGATGTGAGAGCAGAAGTCAGGGACTTTTTCTTAAGTCCCCAAAGCAGGTAAGGATTTCCTTATTCTTCCTTTTCATGCTCAGCAGCATGTTTTCTCCCCTCCTATTTCTCCCCACCTCCTGCTTCTGCTTTACCTGGCTGCCCCAGGGGCAAAGGGAAATCCAGAGCTGCTCCTATTTAGCTCCATCTGGGCTTTGTGGGGAGCTGATCCAACCAGGGACAGTGATAGTGAGGCCAGGCAGGCTCCTCCTCTCTGTCCCATCCCCCTGGGTGCTCTTTGCAAACCAAGCAGTAGATGTGGAGAGGGGGGAACCCATCCACCGCTGGAACTGTCCTCGGCTGAGCTTGGCTCTCTATGCGGCTGAAAGGTGGACGACCGCACTGTCCATGACACTGGCAATCTACTGGCAATAAACTAATGGTGTGGAGGGTTGTTTGGCCTCCTCAGATGACCAGGGCCTTTTGTAATTATCTCTGTAGCAGTGGAATTTATGGGGTCACAGGATACACATATGGCTCCAGCCTGCCCCCGTGCACCCTATAATATGACTATTGTAGAGACTCAAACAAGTTTTAAAAGCATATTGTAAAACAGACTCAATAAAAATATCAAAACACAAGAACAAAGCAATGCAACTATATATTAGGGGTGTGTGAAGTGGGCCCTAGTTGATTTGGATTCGGCCCAAATCAGGGACAGTGATTCAGTTCGTTGATTCAGATCACTGTCCCCGATTCGATTCGGCCAAATCCAAATCTGAAGGTTTGATGATGATTCAGAGAATCAGCAATTCGGATATGGACAGCTTTAAAAGTATTTTCCTACATACCTCAAGGTACCAGCACGGCTTGTGAATGCTGCGATGATGGGGCGGATGGGGCATCCCACAGAAACATGGGGGGCCCTCCACATGCTCAGCGGCGAACCCAGAAGTGGAATGGAAATACTTATGGTCCACTTCCAGGTCTGCTGGGGAGCGCGCAGGGGGGACCCTGCATCCCCCACAGCTTGGCAATCAGCCGCAGGGGGACCCCGAGTGCACCCCCCATACTCAGGAGGCACCAGTTGCCAAGCCAGAGGGGCACAGAGAGCCCCCCAGCGCGCTCCCTGGTGGACCCAGAAGTGGACCAGAAGTATTTCTGATCCACTTCTGGGTTCACCGCTGAACATGTGGAGGGCACCCTGTGCTTTTGTGGGACACTTCACATGCCCCAGCATCACAGCACTCACGAGCTATCTGCTACCTAGAGAGATGTAGAAAAAAACATTTAAAACTGTGTCCAATATCTCCAAATCGATTCGGAGATATTGGGAAAGGGTCTCCTGATTCGATTTGGAGATTTGGCCACTGAATTGGGCCACACCTCTGCCAAATCGAATCAGGGACTGAAGCTTTGCACATCCCTACTATATATGCACTGTTTTGATTGTAAACTATGAATAGGACTGCCAGGGGGCAGCAGAGGGCAGCAACAGGGCCTTCTCAAGGCTCACTGAGCTCCTGTGACAGCCAGCTCCCTCAGGCTTTTCCCTCAGAGTGAGGGGGAAGGGTGATAATTACCAACAGATGGTCCAGGTTCTGTTCCCAGCTAAGCACCGGTAAGTATCCAATAGAAGCGCACAGGTGTCTCAAACACACCTTAGTTCTCCACTAGGTCACCCCTCACATAATCTGGCACAAGCATTACCACACGCCGCAGACAATTAAACCAACCAAGCTCCTCTCAGGATCAACAAGTCAACAAACCAACCAGTCCAATCATGCACATCACGCCTCAATCTCAGTCCAACAATTGCACCCCAATTGAACAACTCAGTCACCCATAGTCCAGTTGTTCACCCAAAATCCTCTCAGGATTCCCTATATACTAGTCCATACGTCAATCATGCTTCCAACTAATTGTACCCACGTGTACACGACACTGCGTATTACTGCTCTCGCATACCACTCTTCCAATAGACTCATAGAAAATGAGGGCTGGAATGGACCACTGGAATGGACCTCATTCAGTCCAATCCCTTGCTCAAAGAAGGATCATCCCCAACTATATAATCCCACCCAAGCCTTTGTCTTGCTGGGTCTTAAAAACTTCCAAGGATGCAGAGTCCACAACCTCTCTGGGTAACCTGTTCCAGTGCTTTACTACCCTCTCCGTGAGAAAGTTTTTCCTAATATCAAACCTAAACTTCCATTGGTGCAACTTGGGACCATTGCTCCTCATTCTGTCATGAGCCACCACTGAGAATAGTTTAGCTCCATCCTTCTTGGAACCACCCTTCGGGTAGTTGAAAGCTGCTATAAAATCTGCAGTCAGTTGTCTTTTCTCCAGGTTCAATAAGCCCAGTTCCCTCAGCCGTCATATGCCCCAGCCCCCTCACCATTTTTGTTGCCCTCCACTTTACTCTCTCCAATTTGTCTACATCCTTTTTGTATTGGGAGGCCCACAACTGGACACAGGACTCCAAATGTGGTCTCACTAGTGCCAAATAGAGGGGAATAATTACATCCCTCTATCTGCTGGCAACACTCCTACTAATGTAGCCCAGGATGCTCTTAGCCTTCGTTATAACAGGGGCACACTGTTGGCTCATATTCAGCTTGTTGTCCACTCTAACTCATAGGTCCTTTTCTGCAGAGCTGCTACTTAGCCAATCAGTCCCCAGCCTGTACTGGTGCATGAGTTTGTTCCACCCTAAGTGCAGGACTTTCCACTTGTCCTTAGTGAGCCTCATGAGATTTCTTTTGGCTCAGTCCTCCAATTTGTCTAGGTCTCTTTGAATCCTAGCCCTATCCTCCAGTGTATCTACTACTCCCCAGAGCTTGGTGTCATCTGCAAACTTGCTGGGGATGCACTCCACCCTATCTTCCAGGTCATTGATGTTGAACAAAACTGGCCCCAGGACCAACCCCTAGGGCACTTAACTTAATACCAGGTGCCAACTAGAGCTCAAGCTAGAGGTTACTACCCTTTGAGCCCAACAATCCAGCCAATTTTCTATTCACCTTACAGTCCATGCATTCAACCCATGCTTCCTTAGCTTGCATGCAAGAATGCTGTGGGAGACCATATTGAAAGCCTTGCTAAAGACACCTCATACCACATCCACTGTTCTCCCTGCATCTACTGAGCCAGCCATCTAATATTATAAAAACCGTAGTCTGTCTGTCTGCCTGTAATGCTTTATTCACACTCCGATTGGTATGCACAGACAAAGACACACGGTGGAGCACTGCCATGACAGTGGGGACAGGGAGCCTTGGAGGCAGAGGGGGATGGTGGGGACTG